TACGAGACTTCCTCCAAATTGAGCCGCGGAAGTCTCCAGAACGAGCGCTTTGTACGAGACTTCCTTCAAAAGTGAGCCGCGGAAGTCTCCAGAACGAGCGTTTTGTACGAGACTTCCTTCAAAAGTGAGCCGCGGAAGTCTCCAGAACGAGCGTTTTGTACGAGACTTCCTTCAAAAGTGAGCCGCGCAAGTCTATAGAGAGAGAGAGAGAGCGTTTCGCACGAGACTTCTTTCCAAAGTGAGCCGCGGAAGCCTCTAGAACGAGCGTTTTGCACGAGACTTCATCCTTCAAAAGTGAGCCGCGAAAGTCTAGAGAGAGAGCGTTTCACACGAGACTTCTTTCAAAAGTGAGCTACGAGACTTCCTGCAAAAGTGAGCCACGCAAGTCCGCAGAGAGAGCGTTTCAGACGCGTCAAACGCGATCGACGTTTCACCACACGTTTGAGCACTTGGGCTTCAATGGAGAGGGGCTTGGGGCTTCACTTCTTTAGGTTTTTTTTTGTTTTGCTTCAGGCTTCACTCCTTTAGGGTTTCATGTGGTTGGGCTTAGGACTTTGTGTCTTTAGGATGTCTTTGGGTCGGATAAGCCTTCACTTCTTTAGGGTCTCTTTTGGTTTTGCTTCGGGCTTCGGCTTTATTGTTTCTTTGGTCTTAGCTTAGGGCTTCACTTCTTCAGGATGTCTTTGGGTTTGACTCAGGGCTTCACTTCTTGAGGATCTGTTTTTGTTTTGCTTAGAGTTTCGAAGTTTCGCTCCTTTGGGTTTTCTTTTGCTTCTTTAGGATGTAAGTGGGTTGGACTTAGGCCTTCACGTGAGGGCTCCTTTAGGATGTCTTGGGATTCACTTAGGGCTTCACTTCTCTAGGGTCTCTGGTTGGTTGGGCTTAGGGCTTTGCTGCTTTAGGATGTCTTTCGTTTTTACTTGGGGCTTCACTTCTTTAGGATGTCTTTGGGTTTGACTCAGGGATTCACTTCTTTAGGGCCTGATTTGGTTTTGCTTAGGGTTTCGCTCCTTTAGGATGTCTTTGGGTTTGACTCAAGGCTTCAGTTCTTTAGGGTTTGGTTTGGTTTTGCTTAGGGCTTCGCTCCTTTAGGTTTTCTTTTGCTTCTTTAGGTTGTCTTTGGGTTGGACTTAGGCCTTCACATGAGGGCTCCTTTAGGATGTCTTGGGTTTCACTTAGGGCTTCACTTTTTCAGGGTCTCTGGTTGGTTTGGCTTAGGGCTTTGCTGCTTTAAGATGTCTTTCGGTTTCACTTAGGGCTTCAATTCTTTAGGATGTCTGTGGGTTTGACTCAAGGCTTCACTTCTTTAGGGTTTGGTTTGGTTTTGCTTAGGGTTTCTTTGGCTTGGCTTAGGGCCTTGCTTCTTTAGCATGTCTTTGGGTTAGACTTAGACCTTCACCACCCCCCCCCAAAAAAAAGAAATACACTTGTCAGACACCAGTCCCCAGAAACCACTTCCCAGAAACCAGTCCCCAGAAGCCAGCCCCCAGAAACCACTTCCCAGAAACCACTTCCCAGAAACCACTTCCCAGAAACCAGCCCCCAGAAACCACTCCCCAGAAACCACTTCCCGGAAACCACTTCCCAGAAACCACTTCCCAGAAACCACTTCCCAGAAACCACTCGCCAGAAACCAGCCCCCAGAAACCACTCGCCAGAAACCACTTCCCAGAAACCACTTCCCAGAAACCACTTCCCAGAAACCACGTCCCAGAAACCACTCCCCAGAGACCATTTCACCCGCGTTCCGAAACGATCCGAATCCGCGTTCCGAAACGAGCTGAATTCGCGTTCCAAACCGAGGCGGCGGCCTGGTAGCTTTGCCTCGGACTTCACATTCCTCCAAAAATGGACTAGTAGCAAACAGCCAGAAGCCACGAAAGCCACCAAAGCCAAAAGCCACGGAAGCCACAAAAGCCACGAGAAACAACATTACTTTACTTCGAGTGATCCCCACCATGACATTTCAATCATTTGTCTTGATGCCATAGTGAGGAGCATGTTGCCATAGTCGTTAGTATTGTAGTTCTCGATGTTGCTTGTGGGTCCTCGGGTTGTGTGCTGTGGTTGTGTGCTGTGTTGTGGTTGTGGTTGTGTTTGTGGTTGTGTGTTTGTGGTTGTGTTTGTGTGTTTGTGGTTGTGTGTTTGCGGTTGTGGTAGTGGTTGTGATTGTGTGTTTGTAGTTGTGGTTGTGGTTGCGGTTGTGTCTTTGTGATTGTGTGTTTGTAGTTGTGGTTGTGGCTGTGTCTTTGTGATTGTGTGTTTGTAGTTGTGTTTGCGGTTGTGTGGTTGTGTGTTTGTGGTTGTGTTTGTGAATGTGTTTGTGGTTGTGTGTTTGTGGTTGTGTGTTTGTGTGTTTGTGGTTGTGTGTCTGTGGTTGTTGTTTGTGGTTGTGTGTTCGTGGTTGTGTGTTTGTGTGTGTGTGTGTTTGTGGTTGTGTGTATGTTTGTGGTTGTGTGTTTGCGATTGTGTCTTTGTAGTTGTGTTTGTAGTTGTGTGTTTGTGATTGTGTTTGTAGTTCCGTGTTTGTGATTGTGTTTGTAGTTCCGTGTTTGTGATTGTGTTTGTGATTGTGTGTTTGTGATTGTGGGTTTGTGATTATGTTTGTGGTTGTGTGTTTGTGGTTGCGCGTTTGTGGTCGTGTGTTTGTGATTGTGTGTTTGTGGATTTTATCTGGCAAACTATCTGGTTGAGGTCCAGCGGTGCACACTGCGATCGGATCCTTGCGGTTGAGGTCCAG